CAATCTATTCTGTCACTCACTACACAGAATTATACCAATATAAGTACATAAATTTATTAAATGATATAATTAATTAAATTGAATCATCAAAACAGACATTCAATAAAAGTTTCAGGAAATGATTATTCTTGATAATGGCTATAGGTATCACTGTTACTCAATACCCACAATTCAACTACAGTAATTTTGCTGCTTTTCCTCTTGGCCTCTCCAGAGTCTGTTTCCTAACTTCTGGACACTGTTTATTCTTTCTTTCATGTAATCCTCTAGTTCCAAAAGTTGTCCATAACTTATTACTGTTGTAAGCTCTTTGTAGAATGAAAATCCCATTTTTAGTTCAATTTTAACATTCAAATTTCTCAGATATATATTTTATTTATTTTAAATATTTTATTTATTATATTTTTATTTTATGTGTATTCAGTGTATTGACTGAATTTGTGTAAATGCACCCATGTCAACAAATGCCTACATAGGTCAGAAGAGGACATCAAGTTCCCCTGGAAGTGGAGTTATGGATTGTTGTTAGCCACAGTATGGGTCCTGGGAATCAAACTGGTGTCTTTTGCAAGAGCATCCAGTGCTCTTAACCAATGAGCCATTGCTCCAGACCCAGATATGTAGCATATATATATTTAATATTGTTTTTCTAGCAATTGATATTCAAACACATGCTTGTTAACAAATAAATTACTTTAAGAATTTTTTCATGCTATGGAATATGAAAATGAACCACATACTTCATATAATGTAAGTAGAGGGCACCTGGGAGTATCGATATGCAGTTTGATGAATGAATGTGTACTTTGATTTATGTAATTAAGAAATATTAAAAAATAAAATGAAAGAAATATACTAGATTTTTAAATAAAATTTTTAAAATGACGTTTTTAAAGCTGTAAATGACCAACTACTGTTGATGCCGTTGCATAGATACGGGTGGAGTATGACCTCAAAGGATCATGGACTAGAAGCTCAGTTTCCACTGAGCTATCATGGCCCCTTAAAAGTGGGACCTAATGGAATTTAATTAGTCTTCTTTAAAGTACTACCCTTCAAAGGGGTGTGTGTGTGTGTGTGCGTGTGTGTGTGTGTGTGTGTGTGTAGAGAGAGAGAGACTTTGAGTTGATTTTACAATACACAATGAAGTTAATGGTTATTATCAACTCTCTTCGTGCTCTTTGATCTCCTGTTGGAAACACCGTCCCCCTCGTGTAGCACAGCCAGGAGTTCTTTGACAGTGTGGGCACTATCTATGCCGTTTACATTTTCTGTCATCAAATTCTAACCTCAGCAAAGCTCTTCCTTTATAAACTACTCAGGCTAAATATTTACTGGCAATTGACTGGAAGTCAGCTGCAAGAATTACCAAGACCTTAAAGTAGTCATTCTCTAAATTTTCCTCCAAATGTGAAGTCTCTCTTTAACTATGTCAGCTCTTCTTTTATTTATTTATTTATTTATTTATTTATTTATTTATTTATTTATTTATTTTGGCTTTTTTTTTTGGTCTTTTTGAGACAGGGTCTCCGGGGGCTGGAGAGATGGCTCAGTGGTTAAGAGCACTGACTGCTCTTGCAGAGGTCCCCGTTCGATTCCCAGCACCTACATGGCAGCTACAAACTGTCCTTAACTCCACCCTAGTGCTGGGATTAAAGGCTTGTGAGCCAACACCTGGCTCAGCTCTTCTTTTTTTTCTTACTATGAGAAAGTGTTGCTTATTTTGATAATTAAAATTGTTTTGAGATTCAAACGCATTCAAAACATGCGTTGAAATGTATAATAAATGTATTTTCTAATTTTTTAAACAATTATCTTATATGAATCAAATTAACCCTAGCCAATAATATACTGAATAGTGGTATCTATATTTTTTCAAATTTATCATAAACAGGAATGTATTTCATATAATTCTTGATAAAATCATGAGTTTATTCAAAATGTTCAAACAGTTTTTTTGGGGGGGTTGAGACAGGGTCTCCCTGTAGCCCCAGCTGTCCTGGAACTCACTATGCGACCAAGCTGGCCTTGAGCTCACAGAGATCCGCCTGCATTTGTCTCCCAAGTGCTGGGATTAAAGGTGTGTGTCACCACACCTGGCCCACAAACATCTTTATATTAGGTATTCTGGGAAAAAAGTATTTGACATTTCATGAAATAATAATTTTCTACAAAATTATCCCATGTTTTCAGTTCTACTTTTAGCATGTAAACCTTAACAATCATTTTTGCACCATGAAAATGCCTCATATGAATAAAAAATTATAGT